ATGGATGGATGGATGGATGGATGGATGGATGGATGGATGGATGGATGGATGGATGGATGGATGGATGGATGGATGGATGGATGGATGGATGGATGGATGGATGGATGGATGGATGGATGGATGGATGGATGGATGGATGGATGGATGGATGGATGGATGGATGGATGGATAGATGGATAGATGGATAGATGGATAGATGGATAGATGGATTGATGTCATGCCTTAAATTTTCTGATTTATTTGTTTTGTTTATTTGTTCAAACAGTTTTTTAACTTCTGCTGATCCACATTTTACTGAACATTGTTTTTAAATTCATTAACACTGTTTGCTGGGCTTTCATTTTCAGAGAATGGATGTCCAATGAGCGAAAAATAACAGATTATGATCAATCACATGTTCAGCTCAGTATAAGGTTGGTTGGTCTGTTGCATGGTTGATTGGTTGAATGATGATTGGTTAGTTGCATGGCTGGTTTATTGGTTAGTTGATTGGTTGTTTGGCTACTTGAATGATAGTGACAAATTAGGCTAGGTTAGTAAAATCACAGCTTACACAGTCTGCTCACTTGGTTAAGGATATAAGACAATATTACTGTTGTAGTGGAAAATTTTAAATAGCAACTAATTTTTCTTACTATATTAACTCAATTGATTTACTAACTGATTCATTAATTCACTGACGGACTCATCAATTAATTAATTAATTCATTCATTCATTTATTCATTCATTCATTCATTAATTCATTCATTCATTCACTGATAGGAACTACACAGACATATGCAACATATCAGATTTGATGGTTATTCAGCAGTTTTATCTGCATGCAAAGAAACTTCTTGCACAAGTTTGTTATCACCTACAGCTATATATTGTTATCACGTGTTCTGTTCGTTTTGAAACTCTCACAATATAACATGTCAATTCGATTGGATCACTTTGATGATGAGGATGATGATAATGATGATGATGATGATGATCGACTATGGCTGCACTAACTCATTGGCCAACAATCCTTTAACGCATTTTATTGGACTCTAATGACCTACATCATTAAGCTTACTCACACATTCTCAAGTGCCAATCACTTAATTGTATATAATATATTTTATGTTATATATTATGTTACTATGTTATTTATTACTTCTATTATATAATTAGTCCTGCTATTTTTAACACATAATGTAAGAATTAATTAATTAATTAATTAATTAATAATTAATTAATTAATTAATTAACAACACCTATTTGAAACACGACCATTAGTTCTGATGCTGTAATTATCTTTTGTATATTGTTAATCATGCAACCTCACAACACACACAACAACAACACAGAACTTGTTGGTTTGTAGTAGTGATGTCATCTTTCAACTTTCATCATTGGCACTACAATATGAAGATGGAGATTATACTTGGTAACTGTGTTTGTTTGTTTGCTTGTTTGTTTGTTTGTTCATTTGTTTGCTCATTTGTTTGTTCATTTGTTTGCTTGTATCGCACAAATTGATTATGGGCGTGATGATAATGATTATGATAAAGGTGCTGCTGCTAATAATCCAATAACAAGGAAGTCAAACAGATAAGGAAGATGAATATGAATAACTTTTTCCAATTTTTTTTTTTATATTTTTGTTTCTAACTCATGAAGACGTAAGTTATCTATCTACCAGCCAACCTATTTGCTATTGCTATTTATATTTAAAAAACATCCAGGGCATATATATATATATATATATATATATATATATATATATAAAAGCATTTATGTACATATCCCCTACAGATGAAATGTTAGTGGTTTTCTTTCTGAGTTAACAAATGAATGAGTTAATTATGAATGAGTTTACCTCTTGTGTTTCGCTGATTGATTTCCTGCATAACATGCCCTACGATCACATTCATATCTCACTGGCGAAATGATGACCTCAACATCACCACACCATAGCAGCGTAAAACATCCCTTTTCACCATGACCCAGCAAGCTCGTTTGAACTGCATCATCATTTGATTGGCTGTAAATCTGCGACGGTGTCCAGTCTTCTACAACAACAACATGATCTGACCTCACAGCACATGCACGCAATTACATTTGATACGTGCATTAAGATGATTGGTTCTCGGCATAATCAAAACCTAGGCTAATCCGTGGCTAATTTGTGAATTATTTGTTGCCAAACTTTGAACAAACACCTTTCAATCATCATTTTCCTGTTGTTGATTTACTGAATTAGTTAATGACTTATTAATTTAGTTTTTTGTTTGTTTGATCAATGAACGTTTAGTGAATAACTTATTCCTTTTAATTTCCGCTTATATTTTATTTATTTCTCAGTTATCATTTTACTATTCAATGCCAAATGATTAAACAAGTTGTTGCAATAATTTTTGCCAACAGCTCCCAATCAGCTTGTGAATCAATAAAGAGGTTGAATTTGCTGCCTACCTCTGTCCTTCTAGAGCATCTTTCTATTCAACATTGGTTTGTTGCTCTTGTTGATCATTTGTTGCTGTTGTTGTTAATCATTTGTTGTTCTTCGTATTCGTTTATTTTTGTTATTCATTCATCGTTGTTTTTGTTTGTTTGTCGTTCATTGTTGTTGTTCGTTATTGGTGTTGTTCATTGTTGTTGTTCATTGTTGTTGTTGCTCATTGTTGTTGTTGCTCATTGTTGTTGTTGTTCGTTGTTGTTGTTGCTCATTGTTGTGGGTGTTTATTGTTGTTGGTGTTTATTGTTGTTGTTATTTATTTATTCATCGATGTTGTTCACTAGTGTTGTTGTTGCTTAGTAATTATTTTCTCTTTTTTATTGTTCGTTTGTGTTTAACTTGTGTGTTGTTTTTATGCTGCAGTGATCATTTTGTGTTTGTGGCCATCTGTTTGAACGATGGTGAGAGGATATGCAACGGTGAGGGAACTGACGGCACTTTTGATTGAGATGCACATTTTAAGAGCAATTCTTTAAATGTTTCAATTGTTATACCAATCTCCACTCAAATAAACATAATTTGAGTTTGCTGTACATGCGTTTGAACCAGGTCACTGAGTAATTGATTTGATGGGGTAGTAGTTGCATTTGGAGTAGCAGCAGATCCGTCTTTTGAGATGCCGACTATTTGGAATGAGTACAGATATTGTTATTATTTTGAAAATTATTATTTTGTGATGGTTTGTGTTGGTTATCAACTTTCCAATTACACAATTTCTCTAAATGTAAGCATATTTATAAAATCTAAGAAAACTCACGAAAAGTAAGCAGCACTAATCAACAAAGACGTGTTTCATCAAAAATGTGTTGAAACCTGGTAAAAATGCACACAGTATTTAATGCACCATCCAGTTCGTTAATGTTCATTGCATTTGCCTTCATTGACATTATTCATTTGCATAATGGCATTCTATCTTGCCTGTCACCGATTTAACTGTCGGACACTCAGCTCTACTTGAGCATTTGTTTACTGACTTTCGAGAAGTGCTTTCAATTTTTGGTTAAATTTTTTTTGTTTTATCTCTAATCACAAATTTCTCATTTTAACGTGTTTCTTATTCTTGGTTGTTTATTAATTTCAATGTTAATCCGACATCCAAGTGCTGAGAATGTCGTCCAGGATAGCCTTTGTTGCATGTTGTTCTGCTCCAATGCTGTTTTTTATTGTATGCTGACTGTTTATCAATGTTTGGATTGGTTTCTGTATCGTTGGTAAGCCAAAGTTATTCGTGTCTGTTAACTTATTTAGTCATCGGCTAATTAGATTTCAATTGTTTCAGCTACTAGTTGGAAAAATAATTTCTCAGTAGTATGAGAAAATAATTTTTAATATTTCTATTACAAACTTTTCATATCTTCGACCAACCCCCTACAACCTTCCTCTTAAGAACTCCCTCACTTTTTCCAACGTAATGTTTTTTTTATTCACCGATAGATTTATTTTGACTTGTTGTGGTTAAATTGGAATAACTCAACCACTCTTTTAGATCTTTTTTTTCATTTATTCAATGAAGAAATAGAATAGAATAGAATATATATAGAACATAGAATCAATTTCTAAATGCAAGTCGCTTTTAGTCGTTTGTTTAATTGATAGGCAGCTTATTGTCAACATTTCATAATCTTCATCTTCATCTGCTGATTCAGCTTTAGTAGCAAAACAATTTCACGATGTTTTAATAATTAACTGCTAAAGTCTTCAGTTAAATTGACAAAAAATTTAATTCGTTACATTCTGAACATAACTTTAGGACATTATCACAACATTACATTTGTTTATCACATTATCATTTGTTTGTCAGATCATCATATTTCTATAACGTTCTGTCACCGCATTTGGTCACTTCACTCGCGTCATCATTAATTATGTTATGTTATTAACATTTTTTGATAAAACTTGAATCATATAATAAGTCTTAATATATTCAACAAATTTTAATAGATTGACAAATTTTTTCAAGGTGCTTTGTTTTTATTTTAGTTTTTTTGTTTTACCACTATTATGGACCGATTTGTTTAATTTATTTTTCAATTTTTATGATTAATTTTTTTTCTTTGCATTTGAAAAGCGAGGAGAAGATAATCACTCGATACAAAGAGCTGTCTGGCATGCAATCTCACATCTCCATTGTCAAGTAGGTGCCTTTGTGTGGAACCTTTAATTTCAGTCATTTCATTCAAAGTATTAACACTATATTATATAAATCACCGTCATTGTTGTTATTATTGTTGTTGTTTTTGATGTCTTCATTAATGTTCTTTGTTTGTTTGCCTATACTAAGGTGTATGGTTTGAAGACTTGTGTGTTATTCATCAGTCTCTACTGTACTAATTTCAAGTTTATTTCATTAATTGGTTGATGACTGTTTTGTCAACATTTTGTTTGCAATTTTATTAGTGAGTTGTTTTTGATTAAATGTGCATGTTTTATTCTGTATATGGAAGGGGGTGTATGGACGTGTTTACATGCGTGCCAGTGGCGCCAGATTCGTAAACTTATTCTGAACTTCTTTCTTTTATTCAATATGCATCATTCTCATTTCCTCTCCATGAAGTGAAGAATTTTTCCATATGAACCTGCCACTAAAATAGTGCAGCACTAGTTTTGCATGGCAAACATTGCAGGCAGGTTCATGCTGCTCATTAAAACAACAAGTTGAGATGTTTTCTGAGACTAATGGTAGACAGATTAAATATCTTATTCTACAAAACTGTTTCCAAGTGTATTACAGATTTATGGATGAAATTGAGTGAATATTCGAAGGGGCTGTTGAGTAAGACCAAAAACGACTTTTTGTACCTTCCTTTCTCCTAAACACTCCCGTAACAAACGACTTGGCTTGGTCCTCTGTCACTTAACCAAAAATTTCTGAAAATAATACTATTGTTCTTTTAAAAAAAATTTCTGAAAATAATACTATTGTTCTTTTAAAAAAAAATGTATACATATTTCTTTCGTCCATAAAAAGCTTTGATCTTAACAATATTCTTACATACTAACAATCTTCTTTTTTTAAATATTTGATAATCATTATCCTAAATGCTTTGCAGATGAGTTTGAATACGAATTATATTTGAATGTGAATTATGTTTGAATATGAATTATGCTTGAATATGAATTATGTTTGAACATGATTTATGTTTGAATATGAATTATGTTTGAATTATGTTTGAATATGAATTATAGTTCTTCGTCGTTAGGCTAGCTGCTCTAACGTTTGTAAATTTTATTGAAATTGATGAATTAAATTTATTAACGATGAAAAAAATGTGTAACAGCACAAATCTTGAACCTCCTGTTATACTGTAATACTTTGTAGAAAGAAACATTAGTTGATACGCGAACGACCCGTTAATGAATTTGCAGAAATATATTTTTTTAATACGATTGTGGATACAAATTTTCTAAATTATGGATCATGTATGACAAGAATTATTAAATAAATATCTGATTAAATAATAATAATAGTATTAAGTTTTTTATTCAACCCTTCGTTCAAGCTGATATGCAATGCGTTGCTCTTTTTGAACTTGTTATAATTAACTAAATATATTTCTTTTCCTCTATTCTTAACAACCACTTGTTTTGGAGCAATCTACATTTTCATAAGAATTTGTTTGGGTCGCTTCCACACCTACTTCCGTTTGTAGGATCTTCAGCAGTTACGTGTAAGTCTATTTTTGGTCATTGGTTAATTTATTTTCAATTTTAAACTGACTTTTCTCTTGTAAGTATGTTATTGAATCTAAACTTTGAAGAATATCAGTAAAATGTAGGGACTGTTCGTGTTGAATGAACAATTATTTTAAATTTTATTTTATTTTAATTATGCAGAGGACTTTGTTTTCCTGAATTATTGCTATTTAATTGGTTTCAGTTTTTGTAATCCTAATATTAAATCTAATGCTATTTTTGCACAATGGACATTTTGTGCTACTGTGCGTTGTGCTCGCTGGCTCCTATATGACCTGGCAATTAAATTCAATAGCTCTTCCTGTGAGTGAATGAATGAATGAATGAATGAATGAATGAATGAATGAATGAATGAATGAATGAATGAATGAATGAATGAATGAATAAACATGTTATAAATGAAAAATAAGTAATGAATGAATGTCCTGTCTGACAACTTGTGCTTTCAATTGTTCAGTGTTCTGTGATTTTGTTTATTTATCTTGCTTTAATTTTAATATGTGATATGCGTGGGTGGATTATTATTGTAAGAATGTGTCTTTGTGTTGGTTAGTTCTGTTTGTATGTTTGAGGTTTATATTTGTAGGCATATGCATATTATTAATGTTGTACGTAGATTCATATTTGTGATTGCATGAGGTTGTGCTACATGCATACACACAGACAGACAGACAGATAGATAGATAAACAGATAGGTAGACATACAGATAGATAGACATATAGATTGACAGATAGATAGACAGATAGGTAGACATATAGGTAGATATATAAATAGACAGATAGGTAGATAGATAGATAGATAGATAGATAGATAGATAGATAGATAGATAGATAGATAGATAGATAGATAGATAGATAGATAGATAGATAGATAGATAGATAGACATAAATATATAGACATAGATAGATTGACACAGATAGATAGACATAGATAGATAGATGGATGGATGGATGGATGGATGGATGGATGGATGGATGGATGGATGGATGGATGGATGGATGGATGGATGGATGGATGGATGGATGGATGGATGGATGGATAAGATACAAATTGAATGACAGATAGATAGATTTTTATTTTTTCGTGTTTATATTTGTTTGTATATGTTTTGCATTTTGCTGTTTATTTTTGTATGTGTGGTATTTAAATACTTAATAGGTTGCATTTTCATATGTGATATTTACGCTTGCATCTTCGTATATACATATTTTTGTAATAATTATAATTGTGTATGTTTATGTGGCATTTATTTATGTATATGTATGTGTGGTATTTGTATGTATACAGTATGGTATTTCTATGTATATGTGAGGTGTTTTTATTCGTTATTCTCTTATACACTGGCATTTGTTGATTCAAAATGTAAATCAACTAACCCAAGTCACACATACAGATGCAACATCATATACATGCAAATACAACATCACCTCAATAGATACAACATCACATACTGTACATGCAACATCACATACAATACATACAGCATCATATACATTACATACAACATCACATACAACATCATATACAACATCACATTCAATACATACAACATCACATACAAAACATACAATATAACATACAACATAACATACAACGTCACATAAAATACAAGCAGCATCGCATACAACATCACATACAATACATGCGGCATCACATACAATAGATATACCATCGAATACCATACAAACAACATCATACAAAACACATACAACATCACGTGCATTACATGCAACATCACATACAATACATGCGACATCACTTACAATAGATACACCATTACATACAACATCATAAACAACACATACAACATCACATACAATACATACAACATCATAAACAGCACATACAACATCACATACAATACATGCAAAGTAATTATGCAGCAGTTACTGGATTAGTACTTATTGATCTCCGTTGATTGTTTGAATGTGGGTGAAGGTGGTAATGAAGATGGTAATGTTGTTGTTGATGATGATGATGATGCTTATGAAGATGATGAACATACATACATACATACATACATACATACATACATACATACATACATACATACATACATACATACATACATACATACATACATACATACATACATACATACATACATACATACATACATACATACATACATACATACATACATACATACATACATACATACATACATACATACATACATACATACATACATACATACATACATACATACATACATACATACATACATACATACATACATACATACATACATACATACATACATACATACATACATACATACGGCCAGGGCAGCAGACGAGAAAATGAAAAAATATGGGAATGCCCTCCCCTCGATGGAATTCTTGCCAATATGTATCGAGGTTCTCGGCCCGATGGACCCCAACACTCTTAAATTTCTTAAGGCAATATGTAAAATGATCAGCGTTAGATCAGGCGACAGCAGGGAACTGTTTTTCGCAACTAACCACATTTCGTGCTTGTTGCAGCGGTTCCTGCGTTTCTGTGTGCTTGAAAATATCCAACTGAATGCCGACATGTGCAATTAACGACAAATCAAAGTGTTAATCCATTTGTTACTTGATGTTTGACGGTTCAGTGTCACCCATCATGTTTTGGTTTTAACATACATACATACATACATACATACATACATACATACATACATACATACATACATACATACATACATACATACATACATACATACATGCATACATGCATACATTCATACATACGTTATATATTTCTATACAATACATATGTGTATATTTGGACGTGTAGTACGCTGGAATATCTGTTTTCATTAGAATTTTATATTTGCACGGTCTATATAGTGCCATCTGAAGTGTATGTAGATGAAGGTTTTGTATAATCTATCATCACCGTTTGTAGACGTGTGTTTTAAGATGTGATAGTGAATGAAATGATATAAATCATGTATTTCTCGTTGTGCTGCTTAATTTTGTTCTCATCTATGTTTGTGTTTGTGTTTGTTCACGTGTACCTATGCACGCGTTGTATCCATCTTTGGCATGGATGATGTTTAGATAATGTATAAGATTACATGCTGATGTTTTTTTATCTACTTGAATATATCAATTCTGATTGCTCCCACGTAAATCATTGCTGGTTGGAATTTTTTCATTAATTGCTGCTCTTTATCGAAATTTGACTTCCTTCGTTAATAAACACTTTGCGATTGTACACACACTTACACACAACACACACACAAACACACACACACACATATTTTCTTATCATTTCAATCTTTTTATCATTGTATTGATTTCTTGCATGATGCACATTGGTAACAAATAATATTTCATATATTTTTGATAGCTACTATGTTAAAATTTGTTTTCTTTTTCCTTCATGTTTGTGCTTGTGTTAATGTGGATATTTTTTACTAAACATATCTTTGACTATTTCTTTCTTTTTTTCTTTCTTTCTTTCTTTCTTTCATTCTTTCTTTCTTTCTTCCATTCTTTCCATGCAAAGGTTGCATTTGTTATAGTGTCATGGCGTCAGAGGTTTTTTGCTGGAGTCGGAATTTTTTAAGGTGTCGGAGTGGGATATTTTTCATCCAACTCCGGAAAAAGTGTTGACAGTTTGATTTTTTTGTTCTAAAAAATTTTTCCATGATTGCCTTTTTTAGAAGATATATGTGTTTGGCGATACGCGATCGTCTTTCATACTAAATAAAATAAATGCTTATAATATATGCGAATTATTATTTTTATATACGTTTTAAAACATAAATTTAAAGTAATTTTGACAAGAAAAACAATGACATTGACTGATATTTGAAGTGTTTTTCAAATATTTTCAATTAGTAGTGATATTTTAGTAAAATTTGATGCAAAGTAAAAGATGAAAATTTTTCTTGGAGTCAGCCAGAACCCAGTGTAAAAAAATTTTTGATCAAGAAGTTGGAGTCGGAAAATTTTTTTATCTGACTCCGACACCCTAGTTGAAATGTAAAACATTTTTTTTTAATTTTGAAATATTTTTATTAAATATGCAATTGCAGTGTTAATGCTTGCTTGCACTCACCATGTTTATTTGTTTACTATTCATTCACTGCATTCAAATACGTTACAAATGCAGATGTGTATATGTGTGTGTGTGTGTACTGGTATGTGTTGTTATTAGTGACTATTTCTTTGTGTTGTGTGTTTGTGCACACGTGTCGGATGTGCTGGCTATAACCTGTAATAATTTTTTGCGACGTTACCCACCAGCTACATGAAGCTCGTGGAGCAGCTGCCAGCATATGGACAACATTTCTTCAAGGTCAGGGACAAATGTGGGTTGCCATGGTTGCTGGCAGTAGGTGGAAAGGGTCTGCACGTTTATGACTACAATGATCTAAAGGTGCCGAGGAAAGAATTTTTATGGAAGCAAATAAACGATCTGCACCACAAGGAGAAGAAATTTGTCATGACCGTTGGGTGAGTTGGTGGTGTGCCTGCATGTACGCGCGTCGTGTTTGGCTGGTTGCATGTTCGGTCGGTCGGTCACTCGGTCGGTCGGTCGGTTGATGTTTGGAATGGTTAAGATTGTGCTATATTAGTGCAATTGCTCTTTTGTTAGCCGACTGAAACGGTTTATAACTTTCAAACGCACGCGTCTTATTGCATCACACACGGCACATGGACGTTCACACCAGTAAGAAAAAAAACACCCCTGTGTTGTTTTTGATTTTTTGTCTCAGATTGTAATGTTTTGTTATAATTTTTCCTTCTTCTCAAGAACATTCATATATTTCCATTCACATATTTCCATAAGTTTTCATAAATATTACATGGTAGTCCTTATCTCATTATTACAAAACAATTTTGTTTTTCTTCAGTCCTTGCCCTGACTCGACAACGCCCATCACACCCTCTCCACATTACAATGTTCGTTTGAAGCACTTCAGTTTAATTGATTTTGCCTCAAGCTTTAACAAAAGCAACAACAGCAGCAACAATGTCTCATCAACAATACCTTGGTTCTGCAACAGCTCGCAACAGGCTAAACTTCTATGGGACACAGCTGTTCAACAGTATAAATTTATTCGACAACAACAAGCTTACTTTGAACAACAACGACAACAATTATCAAAAATGGTCTTCGGTTCAAGCCTCGTATGTTCTCGTTTACTGCAGATCAACATTTCAATTAATTAAATTCAATTTACAATATATTTTCAATTCAAAAAATTTACTCTTATGAAGGTAAATGGTATCCAATCAAAAGAGAGCACCTCTCCACCTCAGAATATCAGCCAATCAGAGCTCAGCAGCAGTTCACAGAGTTTGTCTTCTTCGCGTAGTTCTAATGTTGAATGTTCGTTTCTACCCTACACGTTCTTTAATATAAATTATAATTTTGACACTTGCATACGATCCTTTTACAACGTAGCAAATAGAAAGTTTAAAATGATAGTACTCTGTGATGTTAAAAAATTCCCTTTAAATAGTTTCAATGGAAATTTTAGGAGCTTGGAAAGAGCTGAATTGAACTGCAGATGACCGAAAGAATTTGTGATGCAACCTTTGTAAGATAACGAATGGGAGTTAAGTGTGGGATGTGCTTAGAAAATTACTGAGAACATTGAGATTGTTTTCCCGCACTGAAAGGAGAGTAGAAGATTGAAAGAGGAGGTTGAAGAGTGTAAAATTGTTGAGTGGGTGTGTGAGACTGAGAGTTAAAACTACTTGATTGGCTTGATGGGTGAGAAGAGATTTGAGCAAGCTTGAGCAAGCAATTTTGAGAAGACCATGGCTTGTTTGGATTAGGTGATAAATTTAAGAATTTGGTAATCCAGGCAGATAGTGAAGTGGACAGACCTTCGTTCAATTCCATCATGCGGCTTCCTATCATTATTCATTATTGCCATTATTACACAGCTTCAAGCTCCAGATCATCAGAATTGAATTTGATCAAGTCATTCAGTGACAAGACTGAGTTGTTAGAATCACTAAAGCTGAAGAAAAGACAACTTGATGATAAGTTGAAGGAGAAGATTGAAACATACAGACAGCTATGTGTTCAGGAAGCTGTAAGTTCTTGTGCTTCATGAAATCTTACAAGAAATTGATAACTGACTGGTTGAAGGAATGACTGATTGATTGATTGATTGACTGACAAACTGACTGACTGGCTGAGAGAGGCCAATGATGGTAATGTAATGATGTGATGTTATTATGTAATGGTGTGATGTTATGTAAAGATGTGTTGTAATGCGATCATGTGCTGTTAAGTAGCGATGTATTGTAATGTAATAAGGTGCTGTAATGTAATGTTGTAATGTTATGATGGCGTAAGAAATATGCTTAGTGAGCTCGAACCGAAGGTGACTGTTGATGATCATTATGTCAGGCCATAACGAGGATTCCGTCATCAGAATTTGAAGATGTGTCTCTGGTACTAGTGACATTGAAATCTTCAGCGGCAAGCAGCACTCCCAACGTTGCCAGCATCGGCAAAAGTGACAGACACGCACCACTGTTAACTTGCAGAAAATTGGGCAACAGTTTCTTCTTATCACCAAAATTCATGCAAAAAAATTATTTGCAAGTCAGTCGATGGCCTTTTCATTGTGTGGTTGATATGGCGATTTCAATTAATGCGTGTTTTGATGTTTATATATTTTTGAAGTCATTTAAAATTTAGTTTTAAGCGATTGTTACTTAATAAACGAACTTTTGAATTCCTCAAGACTCCCCCTACTGAACTGGACAGGATGGAGTTGGAGTTGGACCTGCAAGATAAGATAACAGCAGCTGCCCTCACGTTGGCTCAGGAGAAGTCTATCAGGAAGAGTATAAGGAAGAAGCGCATCCAATCTTACCAACAAGCCAATCGGAAGGTTAACACGAACTTGCGTTTGGGTGTTCCTTTTTGTGTTGTTGTCAGTTATAATTTACTTTGAAACAATGGGCTTATATTCTCTTGTTATTTCTTGTTCCTGGTTAACTGTAAAAATTTGTCGATTATGTTGAGTTATTAAGGGTGGAATTATCATCTGATAAACTCTATCTACACATGTGATGCTGCATCATGAAATTGTATTGTTTGCATTGCGTTGTATTAATCAGCATTACCACGAATTGAACGTCCAGTTTCATTGGCGATTTTCACTGCCGAAACTAAAACACCTGGACCAACGCAAATCCTGCCTGTTTTTTAATTTAATTTCACGTCTTTGTGAAATTTAAACTGTAGACGAGTTGGGAACTCCTAATAAATATACAACAACAATATCAATAGGTCCAATGTAATCCACAAGAGAACAGTGATAATGATAGCAACAGAAAAAAATGACAATAAATAAATAAATAAAATTCATAATATTTAAACTACATTCCAAAGTCTGATGTTGTTTCTCTTCAAAGATTCGAGCGTTTGAACATAGCAAAGGTGGTGGACTTGGTTTCCAGATTCTGAAGCGAAACAGAGTCTTCCGACAAGCCCTTGATGTATGAAGAGAATTTATTTGCGGAAGAAAGCTCTAATTCTAACTTATTCTGATTCTAAGATTTTATCAGTTTCTCTTCACTTTGCTTATTTGATTTGATTTGTTATTATATTCTTTTTTATCATCAGTTGCAGGAGATGGAAGCCAAGCTGATGAATTTGAAGAAGTCAGATCTTTGTGAGGGAGGTCAGAAGACGGGGCGTGATCATCAGATTCATTCGAGCGGCAACCACGGTGGGGATGTTGCAAGTGATGACGGTCCAAAGGATGATGGGGATGAATGCAAAAATGTAAAACATCGGGCAGTGACCGCATTAGCAAGACCATCGAATCACCACCACCATCCCTCTTCTTCTCTTTCAATGTCGGCTCTCTCACGGCTGGCAGATTTTTCAAAAAATTGTTCCATTTGTGAAAATGAGGCGAGCCCATCGGAATCGAATGTTCGTCCTACCTCTGCAATTTCATTGTCGTCGTCAATCATGTCATCATCTTTATCATCTTCCGCTACCTCTCCGTCGTTGTCATCCCACATGTCTTGCACGACATCCTTCAAAGCATCCTCAAGCATCATCGCTGGCGATGTGTTAAAGTAGGGAGTTATTTCTATTTCTGTTTTATCTTTTACAACTTGCTAGTTACATACCATCATCGCCATCGTGGTTACAAATTGCATACATAAATATTTTTTGGCGGTTTTCTAATAATTTTCGTTTGTTTAAAAATAGATGCTATATTCGATTCGATTAAATACATTTACTACGAACAATTATGTTATTGCTGTTAATTTAACAAACAGCTCTTGTTGCGCCAACAACAACAACACCGACAACAACAACAACACCGACAACAACAACAACAACATCGGCAACAACAGTCAACAGCAGCAGCAACAGCGTCTTGGTTACATCCCTAACTCACTGTACAAAACGAGAACTCAGTACCGAACGCTGACCTACCCCACCCTGGTGCCAGATAACGAGACCAACAACACTTTCCCCCACTATGACGTCAGCCACATTAACATCAAGGATAATAATAACACTAATAACGTCTCAAGACATTATAACAACTACTCTACAACAACATCAACAACAACTACTACTACTAATAATAATAGTAATAATAGTAATAAAGACGTAGATCATAGCAACAATAACAACAGCATCACTGGTGATGATAAAAGTAATGATAGATGTGGCGGTGTTAGTGGCATTGAAGGGAGAAAACACGTCTCAAATGTAGTGATCCAGGACTTGAAGAACTTGCAGATGAGTGCCAAGGAGCTCACTTGCACCGTCAGAGCAAGTTGTAGCACTAACCATGTTTTAAATATCAGAACGTGTAGCACTGGTCTGAATAATGACGTCAACAATAAGAGCTGTAGCATCGGTGCTGCAAACAACTGCAACAACACGAGCAACAACAGTTTGTACTGCAACAGTTCACTCCCAACCTCTGTTCCTACGGTCCTGTCGATTTATATCAACAATAACAATAACAACACAAATTCGAATTGTGTTGTCGACGATCCGTCGCAGCCACGCCACCCCCACCGCCGGATCAACAACAGTTCATCATCGACGCCGATTGTTCAACGTTGCGAGACATTGGACGACGACTCACTGGCGACCGACAATTCAAAAGTAGCGAATGATACAGCGGTGACGGACCAACTGCTGACAGAGAATAACTTTTATAGCATCAGGCGAAACGAGTTGAAGTACTGCAGGAACAGTGAAGAGATGCTGAACAGCAGTGCGATGTATGAATCTCCAAGTTATGACACTCCTGTTTTTTCTGAGACTACATTTGACAGTCCGAACGCCGGCGAGAACAAATCTGATGAAACGTTGAAAAACGACTCAACGTCCTCATCGACTGCCACCATTGCTGCCACAACCACTATGCAATCCTTGTCAAGAGTAGCGTCTAAAAGAGAAACTTCATCAGCAGTGGCGCGGGTGTTGATTTCTCCGAGGAACTCCAC